ATTACTAGAAGTCTTGATATTATGTGATAACTAAAAATGCAGAAGCATCAATGCCTCATTTGGTTAGATAGGAATGAATAGAACAGCTCTTTCTATGTATTTACTCATTATGGAAAAATATTTGTTAACATAAATTTGCTATAGCATGGATTATCTAATTACCTATCTATTTCATGCTATTAAATGAAGCCAACTGTTCAATGTTTGAGCTCTATTATTCTATTTTTCAGTTTATATTCCTTGAATGAAATTCTAAAATAATTTCCTCCCCCGCAGCCAACATATTAGGTGCAACTGAATTAAGAGGCCCTATAAATTACAACTACAAAGACTTGAAATCAGCAACAGGAAATTTCAAAGAAGAAAACAAACTAGGAGGAGGTGGTTTCGGTGATGTATACAAGGTAAAAAAAAAAAGGTGAAAATGCAACTATATCCAATAATATTACTATATTGCTTTCTTCTTGTTATTGCACTTTCAATTTCCTAAAGCAAATGTTCACATTTGTTGCTGATTTGCTTTGGGCAATAAACAGGGTACTTTAAAGAATGGGAAAATAGTTGCAGTAAAGAAACTAGCTCTAAGCCAATCTAGAAGGGCACAGGCAGATTTTGCAAGTGAAGTTACACTTATAAGTAATGTTCATCACCGGAATCTTGTCCGCCTACTTGGTTGTTGTAGCAAAGGACCAGAATTACTTCTTGTTTATGAATACATGGAAAATACCAGCCTCGACAGATTCTTATTTGGTAAATTAACTTCATCCCTACTACATAGTATATTTATCACATTATCAAATGGTTTTATAGTGGAAAAGTTTTTGGATTGAATCAAATAGAGCTACACAACAATCCAAGTCACCAGGCTCAGGTTAAGTTTAACATAGACCTAACCAACTGGTTTGGACCGAACCAGTGGGGGAGTAGATCAATCCCGATTTCAGCCCCAAGGAATGAAAACCGGAACCAGCTCAGGACTACCAATCAAACAGATAGCAGGGTTGGTCTGGTTCCAAAAAAGAGAAAATTTGTAAAGTTATAGCCTCCAGGTCTTCTTAGTTTATTTATATATACAATCAAACAGATACGGCGCAGGCGTTGGCGCTCTGGTTCCAAAAAGAGAAAATTTGTTAAAGTTATAGCCTCCAGGCTCTTCTTCAGTTTATTTATTATAACGTTTCAGTTTTTGTACATTGCTCCAAAAATGACCGCTTCTTTTTTATGAACAGTACACATTTCTTTTTTATGGAAGTACCCACTTTTTTTTTTTTTTTTTTTTTTTTTTTTTTTTTTTCTTTTTGTAGATGTCAAAAGTTTCCTTTTTTTTTTATGTAAGTACACATTTTTCCTTTTGCACATTTATAGCCTCCAGGTCTTCTTATGTATTATATATTTTACATTTCAATATATTGTATAAAATCGAGAACTCAGCCCAAATTTGAATCACGTGTAAACAAACTAAGTTCTATCACTGTGATACTCAAGTTAGCTCCAGTCAATTACAGCAGCAGAATCATATAGCTTCCTACTTGCTCTTGGTTATATGGAACAGTGGGATTTAGAGATTCAAGATGTTGAAATGTCATAATTATCAAAATCATCTAACTATTAGAACTTTTAATTGGGGCAAAGAATGACATTTAAAATTGCTTCATATAATTTATTTATTTTGTTTGAGAACAGGACTATTAGAACTTTTAATTGGGGCAAAGAATGACATTTAAAATTGCTTCATATAATTTATTTATTTTGTTTGAGAACAGGTAAAAGAAAAGGATCTCTGGTTTGGAAACAAAGATTTGATATAATCCTTGGGACAGCTCAGGGTCTTGCTTATCTGCATGAACAGTTTCATGTATGCATTATACACCGTGACATAAAACCCAACAATATTCTTCTGGATGATGATTTCCAGCCAAAAATAGCAGATTTTGGGTTGGCAAGACTTCTGCCTGAAGATAAAAGTCATCTAAGCACCAGATTCGCTGGCACATTGTAAGTTAAGACTTAATGTTGCATTAAAACACTTCAACAGCTCTACTATGCACACACAATACGTACTGTGTTTAGACTCGCATGTGTGAACTCAGCATCAATACAAGTCCCAAGGGAATATGTGACAGCATCTATGGCATCATAGCATAGATGTTGTCTAGACCTAGCATTGCTCATTTAGAAAAGGGGAGAGAGCTTTCCCCGTCATAAGCGACTCTGCTTCAATTCTAACTCGTTCAAGTATCATTATGTATGACTACATAAAAAATGGACTTAGTGCTTTGTTTTCTCTTCTGATAGTGATTAATACTGATGAATCAGGGGATATACAGCACCTGAGTATGCAATCCATGGATAATTATCAGAAAAGGTGGATACCTACAGCTATGGGGTAGTTGTCCTAGAAATCATTAGTGGCAAAAAGAGTAGTGAGATGAAAGCCGACCCTGGCTCTGATTACCTTCTCAAACGAGTGAGTACTAACAAGGCTGGACATAAATTTATATGTTCTCCAATTTTTCAACTTCTACTTCAAATTTAAACTTGTTTAATTAGAAATTGTTTCTGTCTTACATTTCTTTATGACCTAAAACAGGCATGGAAACTATATGAGAATGGAACACACCTGGAATTAGTCGATGAAAGCTTAGGCCCAGATGAATATGAAGCAGAAGAAGTGAAGAAAATCATAGAGATTGCCTTGATGTGCACTCAAGCTTCACATGCTTTGAGACCAACAATGTCAGAAGTGGTTGTTCTGCTCAAAAGTACTGGTTCAATGGAGCACAGGCCACCAACTAGGCCTCCCTTTATTGAATCTGAAGAAAAGGTGGTCATCCATGGGGACAGGTCCACATCCAATGCCACTGCTTCTATAACTCAGGTGTCGGGTCGCTAAACGTTTAGTATCCACACATTCTTTACTACATTTCCTATGATACCAAAAGGATGTTAATTGGGATACCACCGACATATACAATGTTATTCAACCACCAATATGCAGTAATTACTAAAGTGCACAACTTCAAGCAAAATAATTTGACCATTGAAATGTTATTAATTAAAAAAAAAATGTGCAGCAGTCAACCACAAAACCACGACATCAGTTTTTTCAAGAAAACTATGCAAGGTATTAGATTTACAGGGATGTTCAGTTTTCTAAACCAAAGTGCTTATCACCTTAAGTTGCACCATGTTAAAGCAAGCAATGATCTTGATGTTTCGCCAACAAGGCAAACCCTCATTTCTTTGATGCATAGCGATCGGACATAACAACCTGAACATACTCCAATGTCATATTATCATCAACACAGCTTTTTAATTGCTCGCTAATTCCAATCACAACAACATGATATTCCCATAAGTACATGGAAAGATCTATCCAAAGCACAATGCACCTTATCCTCCATCTGCTTCAATTAGACTGCAACCTGGCACCTTTCTTACTTTTTTATCTTCCATTCCTTTCCTTACCCTTGCAACATCACCCCATTTGTTAGCAGAGGCATACATGTTTGAAAGAAGAACATGTACCCCACCATGGTCCAGATTCAACCGAACCAAGTTATCAACTGTTTCTTTACCTAACTCAACATCACCATGAACCCTACATGCATTGAGTAATGCACCTAAAACATAAGAATCTGGCTCCATTGGCATTTCTCTTACGACTTTCTTTGCCTCTTCTAACTTGCCAGCTTTTCCCAAGATATCAACCAGACATCCATAGTGCTGAACTTGTGGCTCAATACCATATATCTTACTCATGTTTTCAAATATTCTCAATCCTTCATCCATCAGGCCCATTCGGCTGCAAGCATTTAACACACTTACAAACGTAACATCATTTGGTACAACTCCTTCATTCTGCATCCTTTCAAACAACTCAATAGCAGCTGCACTCTCACCATGATTTGCTAAACCTGATATCAAACAAGTATAAACGTAGACATCTCTTTTTGGCAATTGATCAAATATGCAAAAAGCAAGGTCGATACGTCCAGACTTTGCATACATGTCAATGAGCGCAGAGCCAAGTATTCTATCCAATTCAATTCTATTTTTAGTAATGTAAGCATGTATCCACCTTCCTTCATACAAATCACCAAGAAAAGCACAAGCAGTAATTGCACCAACAATGCCAGCATGATTTGGCCGAAACCCAGATATCTGCATAGCATTAAAAAGCGCAAGAGCCTCTTTAAACAATCCAACTCGTACATACCCAGTGATCATCGCACTCCAAGAAACAGAATTCTTCTCAGGCATTTTATCAAACAGTCCGCATGCAACCATAACTTGCCCAGATTTCAAAAACCCATTAATCAAAGCAGTCCATGTAATAACATCTCTATTAGAACTCGCATCAAACAATTGACAAGCATGATCCATGAAACCAAAAGTTGCAAATAAATGAATCAACCCATTTTGAACAAAGTCATAGGACTCCCAGCCCAATTTGATGGCTTGGCCATGGCAAGCTAAAGCCAAGAAAAAATCATTCAAGTCAGTGCACGCTTTGAAAAGGAAAGAGAAAGTATAGTTATTAGGCAAGAAATTGCTTCGAAGCATATGCTTATACAAAGCAATAGCTCTGCTGGGTTCAGTTGCTTCAGCAAAAGCTCTGATCATGGTGTTCCAAATGAAGGTAGATCGAAATTGAAGGCGAAGAAAAAGTTGGTAAGCGTGAGAGAGATTTCCGGCCCTGGAGACTGCACAAAAAGAGATGATTTTGGCAGCGGCATAGGGGTCCTTGAGGGTGCCTGAAACTGTGAGATGGGACTGGATTTGCTTGATTTGTGAAAAAGCAAGGCATCTGTCTAAGAGGAAGACGCTTTTCTTGGTAGCTTTTACATATATGGAGGCAGATATGGAAGCCAACATAGGTATTTGATAAAATGCCAAAATCAAAGTGTGGTTTTTGGTGATGGAAATAAAAGAAGCTTCCCTGCGGAAGCAATGTTTGGAGCTATGGAGATAAAATAATGGGCGCCGAAATAATGAATTAGTTTTGTTAACAAAGAGAGAGAGAGAGAAAAAAAAAAAAAAAAAAGAAATAATGGAATTAAGTTTTGTTAAAAAGAGAGAGAGAGAAGAAAAAAAAAAAAAAAAAAGCAATTAAAATGAAAAAAAAAAAAAAAAAAAGCAATTAAATGGTTGAAGAATGGAAAATTTACTGTTGTTTTTACGTCAAAAGGAAAAAAATAAAGTAAAAAGTAAAAACTCTCGGTTTTACTTGGATAAATCAACAAAAATAACCTCAAATATGTAATTTCTTGTAAAATTATTCCATTTGGCCTTTGTATCCTGATTTTTTCATTTTAAAATATAGATTTATTAACACCTTATCCTTAAGTGAAACTAGAACTTTAAAATAAAATATTATAAACATGGTACCATAACTTGGCCTCTTTAACGTTCCTACTTCTACCTTGCGTAGGACTTTATTTGGCAGCAGCGTTTAAAGCAAAATTTAAAATTTTAACTGTGTCAAAATACTGTTTTTGTAAATTACATCGTTCAGTAAAATAGTATATATAAAATAATTGTTAGTGAATAAGCTAGGTTATCCATTTAACGTTTAGCGTTTCCATTTTTTGATTAAAATTTTTTTTGACAATTATGTTATTAATTAACTTATATTATCCTTATCCTTATACTTAATTAACTTATATTATCTTTAATTAATTTATATTAACATTAGTTTAAAGTCTTTTATTATGGTATTGCAAGTCTGCAATTAAGTTAAAAAATTACATCATTTTACATAAAAATTTAACAAAATAATTTAATAATGAATTAGTAGAGGAATATGTGAGGAAATTGTATTATCATTCTAGAAATGATAATGATTTAAACTTATATAGTTAGACTATACACTATACATTGACATTCTTTTTTATAATGAGTTCACTTATATAGTTATAAGTTAAAATTATAACTCAATATTTAAATGTCCCTTTTTATCATTTTAAAATAACAGCTAATTAAGCAACTATATTTTACTGAACACTTTTATTCCAAACAGTTAACAACCAATATTTATTTTTTACCGATCACTTTTACTATATTTTTTACGGATCACTTTTACTGTAAACAGTTATATAAACAGCTAACAACTAATATCTAATAGCTAACAGTTATTAAAACAGCTCAGTAAAACCGCTAACAACTAGTATTACCAAACAAACCTAAAAGAAAAAAAAACGAACATGCCTACAAGAAGGAAAAACGAATGGGCTCTAAAAGAAGGAAAAAATGGTTATTCCATAACACCATTGATTGCAGCTTATAAATTGTTGATTTTGTCCAATCTAGTATGGTTTTCAATTTTGGCACCGCTTCATCGCCAAATACATTGTCAATCGGATCGACTATCTCTTGCACTAATGGATTGTTTGGATGAAGATAAAATATATATATATATATATTTATTCTCTTTTGTTGGTATCAGAGCCTAAGGATTTAGATCTACTATCTGTATACATATAAAGACTTCGTTTTAGTATATATCTTAAGCGGTTTTGACTTTGCCTACTGAACCTACTGAACCCATTCCTACTGAACCCGTGAGTAAGACCCATGTGAGTGGCATCGAAAGGGTATAACCAGGAGGGTATAACCAAGTAGTCATTAAAGCTTTTGGTATATAATAAAATGGATCCTTTCTTATGTAGATCGGCTAGTAGTAATAAATCTGAAGACTCAGATAACTCGATAACTCAGAAATTAAAAGGGTAATAAATAGAAATGAATTAATTTTACAAGATTTTAGTAAAGCTATTGATGAATGGGAAATTTCTAAAGTTGATAAAGAACAAATTGATAAAATCTCTAAATTTAATTTATTTAAAACTGATTATATTATTAAAACTGAAGAAAGAGATTTCCAATTAAGTAAACCTTTTGAACGTATAACTCTTTTGTCTTCCAAAACTTTGCAACATCATAAAAATAAAAAATATAAATATATTCATATAGGATTAATTCAAGTTGGAATAAAGCCCTTAACCAGAGAAGGATTAAATACTAGTATTCTTGCAGTAGTAAGAGATGCTGCTAAGATTTTTTTAAATTTTCAAGAATTCTTTATTAGGATCAAGTTGAGACAGCTAAGTGAGGACCGATCTCCTTTGAGGTCCCTATCCAGATATGACTGGTCTCATTAAATGATTTTAAAATATTCTAAGAAAAGTATGTTTTGGAAATTAAAACTCATAATTAAAAATGAAGCAATGATCAATTCTATAGCTTTAAATATATAAATTCATTAAAAAGCAATGAATTCACTTTTGAACCTAAATTATAAGTTACAACCTTTTAAAATTGGTGAAAAAGATTTTTGCAAACAGATTTAATAAAACCATACGGTAATTCCTAAAACAATTCAGTTGAAGGATAACCACACTTCCCAGAATGAATGGATTTTGGAAGGGGGTAGTACCTCCTCCTATTCAATTCCTTGAACCAGTAAAACCAAACGTAAATTCTGGCCCAAAAAAATTGAACAATTTTGAAGATGGTAAAGTACTTTAATAATTTAATCGCAAGTCAAATATGAGTATACAGGGTCATGCTTCCTCTGTTCAACAGATGGAAAATGAATAAACCTAGTTCTACCAATACCTTCTTGTGATTTATGCTAAATAACAAAGATAATGAATCTAAACCAAAATTATTTCAATACCATAGTAAAACCCAGATATTCACTTCAGATATTTCCAAAGTAAAATGGAAAAGGTGTTGATTATGTATTCTATACCACAGGCAGTTATAATCCTATAGATATTATGTAATCAACAGTCAATCTTTAGTCCAATTCACCTGAATCACCAACAGCTTCAGCTATCACTGAAAATGTTAGTGATATAACAGAGAATTAAAATGTTCTTAGTAATAGATAAATTGAGAAAGTTTAAGTAAAAGAAATATTAAAACTAAAAATTTTTTACTTCGAATGAAAAAGATATTAATAATATACATTTTTGGAAGAAATTAAAATATGATATTTACGAAATATAAAATAAATAATCAAACTAAAATTTAATTTCTTTGATTGGCTAGTAATATTAATTTAAAGAAAATAAAGTCTAAAAAGAATTAAACCCTATAACAATTAGAGATAAAGACCTAATGGATAGTAAAATGAACAACCATAAAAAGTGATTTTCCTGCTAAAACAATTAGTAAATTAAACATCAAAGATCCATGAAATTATCTGTGCACCATATAAAAGTTTGCTGCGGATAATGAATGATACAAATAGTAAGATAATTGAACAGAATAACTTTAGTAATGCAAGTTTAATTTGTTTAAACTCACAATTAAAACGCATAGAACATATGCTAGAAAATAAACCTTTAGTTATGAAAAATATAAAAGGTAAAGAAATAGTAAAATCTCACATGTTTAAACCTTACCAAATTTCGCAGTCAAGTAAAAAAGAATTTGTAAACAAATTAAAAGATCAATTAAGCAAAATTGAAGTGTGTTTAGAAAATACCCAACACGTAGTTCAGGACACCTCCCCTTCAAGAAACATAAATATGATAGAAGAAAACACCAATTCTGATGTTAGTGAACCTGACTCAGAAACAATTTGAAATCAATCCTATAAATCATCATAGAGAAATTTTTCACCAAAAACAAGTGCTCTTTCTATAAGGGATAATTGATAACCTAAATACTATATCTCAATTTAAATATAATGCTTTCAAACAACTATGAATGGAAATAGATGTTTAAGTGAATAAAGATATCTTAAGTGGTTTTGCAGCAAAATGACACAATGGCTGCAAATGCTTATAAAACACAGCAATCATTTCTGATAAGGCTATAGCAGAAATCTTAATTGCTAGATTTACCGGCCAACTTAAAGGATGGTGGGATTATCATCTCACTGAAAAAGACCAGTTAGACATTTTAAATTCAATTCAAGTAAATGAGGAAGATGAACCTATTTATGATGAACATGGTGAACCTATTCAGGATGCTGTTGCAACCTTAATTCTCACTATTTCACTTCATTTTATAGGAGATCTATCACACTTAAAAGATAAAAATGCAGAATTACTTAGTAATTTAAAATGTAAAAACTTAGGTGATTTTCAAAATTATAAAACGACTTTTCTCACTTTGAGTGTAGAAACATATTTGTGATGAACTCCAACAACAACTTGTTGGAAAGAAAAGTTTTTAGCCTGGGTTAGGCCGTATTTTCTTGGGAAGAAAGGTTAAAATCATAAATTAAACAACAACATGGTCACCTATACCTTATAGTAAGTTTAACCTATGGACAATTAATTAGTATAATTCAAAAGGAAGGATACAAATATGTCATGAATTTAAACTTCAAAAGAACAATTAAAATATAAATTGAACAGTACTTGTTATAAATTTATTTGTTTAATAAATTAATTTGTATAATGTTTGATCTTTAAAAGTTTGAATATTAAATAATTTCATCATAGCATTAAGGGTAAGAAATAATTTCATCATAGCATTTACTTCGTTTAAATTTATTCCTTTTATAAGATTCAGATCTGTTAAACGGTCCTTTAACAGATTAATTATACAAAACCTTCTAAATCTACAACTAAAAATTCTTATAAAAATTTGACTTGTTACAATTGTGGTAAAAAAGGACATACATCTAAATTTTGTAAATTTAATAAAATTTTGTAAATTTAATAAAAGATTACATGAATTAAATTTAGAAGATAATGTTCTAAATAAAATTTATGAATTATATATTGATTCGGATTCCTCGGAATCTGAGATTAATGAAAGTGAAAATCAAATTGATGAATTAGGAACTAATACAAGTTCTTCCAGTTCATCAAAATATTCTTTAAACATGTTATCTAAAGATCAAAGTAATTTATTAACAGTAGTCAATGGTATTGAAGATCAAGAAACTAAAGCTAAACTTCTTAAAAAACTAATAAAAAGTTTTGAAGACGACAATGAAGTAAAAGATATTACTCCTAGAATTCAGTCTAATACT